GATAATAAATGGTTATGTTTTAAGGCCCAAATTTGTGGTAATTTGTTATGTGGTCACAGAACACTACTCACTCATGAGACAATCCAAATGATCAAGTAACATGGAAAGATATCTAGATTTATAGTAGCCAAGAAAGTGGAAATTAAAATAACACTGAGAAATCACTACACTCACCAGGCTTAGGGTTTTTCTTTTTCTTCTTCTTTTAAGTGTTATGGTATCTAATGCCAGTAGGTATACAGGGAAAAGTGTTTTTTACACATTTATTGATAGAAATATAAATCTTTCCAGCCTTTTTAGGAAACAATCTGTCAACATGAATTAAAATTTAAATATACATATCCTTGAATCCGCATTCTACTCCAGGGAATGTACTACTCATAAGTAAAACCATCACAATCACAAAAAAAAAAATATATATATATATATATACACACACACAGAAATGCTTATTGTAATAGTAAAATCCTAGTAACAAAGGAAATACCCATTAATTTGGAAGAGGTTTGATAAATCATGGTATGTCATCACAATAGAGTAATATACAACTATTAAAAAGAACAAAATAAGAACTATAAGACTTAGAAGGATTACCATTATAGATTGTTGAAGGAGAAGTGAGATTCAGAGAATATATAATTCCATTTATAGCACATGGCCCACTAAAAATTATCTATAGATTATCTGGATTGTGTGCTAAAAAATGAAAGTGACATATATGCAGACTCATACATACATATATATGTATGTATAATGCTAATGATGAACATTAAATTTTTAAAAAAGCTGTAGAGTAATATGTAGAATAAGACAGAAAAAACCCCTAATAATTATGTATATATATATATTTGTATGAACAATTAGAAAGGTACATACTAGGGAGGAATGAAGGGGTAAAGTGGGAGTTATTTTGATGTTATATGCCTTTCACTGTTTTGTTTTCAAATTAACTGTATTAAATTGTCTTACTCTTTTCATTTGTATCACTTTTTTCCCCTTTGGCAGTACTAGGGATTGAACCTAGAGGCACTCTTGAGTGAAATCCCCACCCCTTTTTTATTTTTGAGACAAGGTCTTGCTAAGTTGTGGAGACTGGCCTCAAACTTGTAATCCTCTTGGCTCAGCCTCCTGAGTAGCTAGGAACATCAGTGTGTGGTATCAGAGAAACGTCAAATAAAATTTATTTTTTTCTTCAACACTTCTTATTAAGATTCCATATATTTTACTTGTCAGTTCTCCCAGTGGGCCTTAAAGGTATATCAGGTGAAGACTTCTGTCTGTTCATGACTGACTACCAGCCCCTAGAATTGTCTGGTGCACAGCAAGCACTCAAATGTAGGACGACCAGGGAAGGAAGGGATGCCATTAACAGGGTTGAGTGATACTTCCTTCTCTCCTACATGCTCCATTCAGTTCCCAGATGAGCAGCATGTCAGTTGCAACATGAGAATGTTCCCTTGAGCATTCTGCTGCACCTGCATGTGAGGCCCAAATTCCTTCCCAGCCGGGCATCAGTAGAATCATATCCACAGATCTAAATGCATGTGAGCACTATCTAGGGACTCGCAGGGATTATTTTTCTTTATTTTTGATGATCAGGATAGATGGGCTCTCTGATTACTTACCAACAAATATTTGAATTCTTCCTATAGGCAAAAGGCTAAGAGAGAATAGAAGAAAAACAAACATGGTCCCTGCCTAAAGGAGCTTATAAAGGCAGACGCAAACAATTGTGAACATTTTGTTAGGTGACAAAGGAGCAGTACCTAATATACAAAATCTGATGGTTGAGGATGGAGGAGAGTCAAGACATTCAGCAAAATACTCATTACCTATGCCCCATGCCTTGGGGGAAAAAAATCCAAAAGATTTTGAATGATAATATATATACTTTTTTTATACATTGAAGGCACAAAATTGCCTGGATCCACAGTCAAGTTTGAAAGTATAATCATTTTTACCTCCACAGAGTCATGATGTTTCTAAAGATAAAGAAGTCTGTTTGTAAATGTGGGTGGGTGGAGAACACCTGCAATCAGTAAGTAATTTATAGAAATAAAGGAATTCATTGTCTTGCTTGTTGAAAAGAATGACCTTGGGAGTACAGGTGTCTCTTCAATATGGTGATTTCATTTCCTTCAGGTATATATATACAGTGGTGGGTTTGCTGAATCATACAATACTTGTTTTACAATTTTCTGAAGAACCTCCATAATGTTTTCCATAATAGCTGTACTAATTTACAATCCCAACAGTATGTAAGAGTTCCTCTTTCTCCACATTTTGACCAGCACAATGGGATACTATTCAATCACAAAAAAGCATGAAATCCTGTTATTTTCAATAGCATAGATGGACCTGGAGAACATTAAGTTAAATGAGGTAAATCTGGCACAGAAAGACAAACACTGCATGCTCTCATTCATGTGGAATCTAAAAAAGTTGATTTCACAGAAGTTAAGAGTAGAACAGCATACCAGACCTGGGGAGAGTAGGGGGAAGATGAGGAGAGGTTAGCCAACAGGTCACTGTTAGATTTATATAGGAGGCTGAGGTCTAGTGTTCTACGGCACAGCAGGGTGAATATGATTAACAATGATGATCACTCTCTCTTCAAAATAGGAGAGGATTTGGAACGTATTCACCATAAAGAAATAAATTTAAAGTGGTAGATATATTGGATAATGATTAGTTCAGGGTGATTAGTATATGTGTAAACTATACCTCATAAGCATGTACAAATAACATGTGCATAATTAATTTTTTTAATTAAAAAAGGTGGGATTTTTTTTTTTTCGGGTGTGTGTGTGTGTGCATCAAACCTATGGGTACTCTTCCTCTGAGCTACATCCTTGGCCCCTTTTAAACTTTTATTTTTGAGTTTGGGTCTCACAATCGTCCTTGTCTCAGCCTTCTGAGCTACTGGGATTACAGGTGTGTGTCACTGTGCCTGGATTGGAGCTGTTCGCTTTTTAAGGTCAAAAGTGATCATCTTTCCAGCCTACTTAAGGAGAAATGGAAGACAATGTGGCCCAGTTTACAGGGCTAGCTGCTTTTTCAGTTTGGTGTGGTACTTATTTCCACAACTTCACCCAAGTTATTTAGCACCCAAAGTAAACTTTCTGATGAAATTACTTTTGCTCTAGAAGAAGTTATCTTTATGTATGAAAAATTACAGTCTTGTTCCCAATTCCATAGGAAGGAGTAGTTGAAAGTCTATATAAATTAACATTTCAGCACATTATATAAAATCTATAAGCTTATTTCTACAACTCATGATTAATGTAAAAGTTTGCTTTCTGGGCAAATTTTTTTTTAATGTTTCCAGTTTTAGAATTCTTATATGTGAGTGATTTTCGAGTTTTCCTACCACTATCCTTAATTTGATGATTCTATTACCTACCTTTGGTTTGAGATTATAGATTAGTAATCTGGAACATAACACTGGATCTTACAAGGGCAGAAAAAAATATGGCACATGAATTAATAATACCAATTCTAGTACTCCAAGTGCTAGTTAACATGTCTAACTGTGGGATCTTCTTTACATGACTGGGCTAATTAGCTTTCTAAAGAAGTACACAGGAAAACTCAATGTGGAGTGCATTTAGACCAGTCTCTCCCATGTAAGGTAGGTGACTAATCACCAAGGATGAGAGAATTTTCTAAGAAATAGTAGGATATTGCAGATTCTGCACTCAAATAACCTGATCCTTCTTCAAGTTTGAAGCCATTTTTAATCTAATATCAATCAGTCTAATATCAACTAAGACTAAGGGTGAACAGAGTTTTTATAGGAGTTAAGCGATACTTAAAGTGAGTCATTTTCTCTTTGGCACATTTTTGGATTGTTGTTTGGTTTTGCAAGTACAAAGAATGTACAAAATTAAAGTTTCTATCCCAAAGGGCCAGAAGTTCAGTGGTAGAGTGCTTGCCTGTGTACAAGGCCTTGAATTCATTCCCAATACTGAAAAAAAAAAAAAAATTCTGTTCTGGAAAATATGGATTCCAATTTTTTGAATCTGAGAGCTCTGTCAGTGTTTCCTTATAGAAAATCGAATGTCCTAGTCATTGGAACTGAGAAGTTAATAAGTGGAGGATGCTTTGTAATTGTGGGGTCTGTATTAAAGGGTATGCCAAACTTTCAGATGTTTCTGGGAGTATGTTAAGTGCTAGGACAATGCTGAGACCCTTCAAAAACCCAGTGGTCTCGTGAAACTGAAGATCAGACTTCTGCTCTAACACTAGACTGACCCCAAAGAGTTCATCCATCAATTCATATGTAACTTTGAGTCCTTCTGACCATGTGAATTATATTATTTCAAAATTACTCCAGCAAATAACATCTCAGTTTTCATCAAAAAGGACGTTTCCAATACTACTGAAAAAATATGTGTATACACTGAAGGATATAATACTTGCTACTGCAACAGCATGCAGAACCCAAAGAGTAGTTTCAAAAACACCAGAACAGGTACATTTTAGATTCCATATTTGTATTGTGGCTCTAGACTACAACAAAAACAATTTGAGTTCTAGACAAGCAAAGCCTTTGAATAGTAATGATCCAAAGGGGCAGAGGGCAAGGAAGTCCTGGTTGTCTGTCAAGAAACCAAGCCAAAAAAAAAAATTATTTTTATATATATAGGTGCATAATTAAAAAATTATTTAACACTTGAAAATTACAAAACCTATTTGTTAAATATACATATATCCCTCAAAGTATCACTGACCCAATCTTTAAGAGATAACTGTCTTTCTAAAGCCTCAAATTCTCTAATGATAAATTTCTCCATCTTTCTTGCAATCAATAACTAAGACTGTTTCATTACTTTGGATTCATATTTACTTTATCTTATACCCTTTTGGCTTCTCTGCACCCTTCTAACACCTCTTCAATAAAAACCCCAAATCAGATTGTATTAAAGCATTTTAACTGATTACAAAGTCAAAGCTACATTTCAAATCTGACAAATATTCCAATTCATGAGACACCTATAGCATATTATCTATATTTGTACACTTTATTTAAAAACAAATAATACACTTTGAGCCACCAAAAATGGATTATCATCATTAGCTTATCCATACCCTGAATTTACAAAAGAAACTTTTGCACCACAAAAATTAGCATTTGGATTAATTTACATTAATTGATACTTTAACTAAAATTTAAAATACCTGAAGATCAAACAATTAGGCCCAGGGCTCACCAGTTGGGGGCTTAGGTGTGGAGAGCAAGGGTTACTCAGGAAACTGAACTGATGATACCCTGAGATCAGATCTAGTAAACTAAAGTTGAGAAGACATAAAATAACCATTAGACTTAGTATTACAAAGAAGTGGTTCCTCCTAAAAACAGGAATTGGATCATATAGTTGGGATGGGTATGGGGATACCTCCTAATCTGGATTGAAAAAAGTGAGTGGAGAAGGGGGGGTTGTATTTGTTTATTCACAAGAGGCCAACTTCAGCCCAACAATGAGGAGAAAGCAGGGAAGGGAGTATATGGTAGACCAAAGACTTTCTCATGCTGATGATACCAAATTTAGCAGCTCTCCAGAAGTCAATTATAACACCATTCTCTGAGACATTTTCGAAGAGAGCTAACACTCAACAGGGGGAAAAATCATTCTACATTAACAAGGCACTCACTGGTTCACAGCCTGTTAAAAAACGCAGGCAGACATTAACCTAAATTAAAATGAACCTTCTAATTTGCATCAGAGGGATGACAAGTTTGTGGTCCCAGTTAAATCAAATCTAAAACTTGACTAGTAAAGATCCAGAAAACTCCAACCCCTCTGGCACCACTTGAGGAATACTGCTAGAATAAATGAGTGGAATCTAGGGGTTTCTTTTGGTTTAACATTTGCTTTTTTTAGATTATAAAAATAAAAGTGATGTTAAGGATCTGTTAAATACTTTGTCAACATGAAATTCCTTATACTGATATGGAGATCCAGTTGGATGACAAATATGGCCTCTTAAAAGCTTTTAGTGGCAAAAATAAAAACGATTCAAATAAAGTACCATGACCTATTCTTTGTTTTTAAACACAGATATGTTAGTTTCTGGACCTTCCCCAAAAATGGATTTTAGGAATTAATACATTTCACAAAAATATACATATTTTGTTCAGCTACTACTTTTGTACAATCAGAATCCCAGTGTCAAACACTCAAAGTAATGCAATTACATACATAAACAAGTAACATAGCAGTTAGAGGCAACTTCTGAGTAAATAAAATGAAGGAAAATGTACTTAATAGTTTGGAAACAGCTTTCAAAGAATAAAGGAAGCTGAATAAAATTACATTTAGGACTCTCTTCTCATGTAAATTCAATAACAATTTTGTCTTTTGGTTGAAAACATCACACAGACATACACCAACCAGAGATAACCTCCACTCACAACATTGATGGTTAATTTTAAGCCATTCTTTCAAAGGAAAACTAAGAGTGATTCTAAACCTTTCAATCTGATTTGTGACAATACAACTTAAATGATAAAGCCTGAGAAAAGCACCAACATGATTATTAAATTGCATCTAACTATCATTTCAGATGTCATAAAAATTTGCTTTAGTTAAAATGGCAGCAACAACGAGGTAGATATGAGAGATGCCATTTAAATTCTTTAAGACTATTCTCAGGTGGAGTTTTAACTAGTTCAGGTGTTTAAAAATAATTTTTACTATTTGAATCTGAATTATGTAACAATTTCATGACATGCTTTTATGTAAGGGGAAACACATGAAGTACTAAAACAGCAAGCCTTTAAAAAAATTAAACATTAATGAGATCCCCTAATTTTGGTGAACCAAAAACTTTTCTTTTACCTGAACTTGACTATGATTAAAGAGTAGATATTTATTCTCTTACTAAAATTTCTAGGAATTCACATTCAAAATTCTTGCAAGTACATAAGGTGCTCAGAAGAGCACAAAGACAGCGCATGAAATGTCCCCTGAAGTCCTAGAGGTTGAGCATTACATTAAAAAAGACACTGATGGTCACAAATCAGGACCTTCACAGATTGACAAACACACACTCTCTCTCACTGTCCCCCCCACCCCCACCCCCTTACACAAACTCAATCTTCATCCTCACTGTAAGGCTGCATTTGTGTATATATATATTTTAAAGGCACCTCTCATTTTCTAACTATTGCCTTCTTGATGATGTATATTTTGTTAAAAAGCCTGAATGTTCAATGGAAATAGTTCAGTACTGAGAATGGAATATTTTTCAATTCACATTTGAATAGCCAGGTTTTCTTACATTCAGATTTTAATAAACTAGAATGACAGTCTTTAAAACAAGCATGCTAGCCTATAATGAATATAGAATATACAGTAATTTAAACATTTAGAACTATATATTATACTGCAAAAGCAAATAGCACAACACTCATCATAATCTGCTGTTACACTACCTCCAAAAATGAAAATAAAAAACAGTAAAATGCACCTATGGTTTATATTTATATATATATATATAGTCTATATATTATATATATTCACACAATATATATAATATATATTTATAAAATATACATACATTTTAGATATTTTCAAATAAATCTTCATCATTATCTCCAAAACAAATTTATAGCAAGAATACTGAAGGAATGAAAGTCAGATAAACAAAAATTTTTCACAAAGTTCATTATCAGTGATGCAGATCGATTTCCCCCTTTTAGTCATAACTAAAATGATTATAAAAGCTAAATACTTTGCATAACTAATTATCTGTTTAATGGCAAAAACTGCTAAACTTGTTCAATAGAAAAATACTGAAGGTTATTATATCACTCATGTTAAATATTTGTCTATAGTCTGAGCAGCAAATGAGCTCCATGTGACAGCTGAGTTTTGAAAAGGGTACTGCAAGCTCCCAGAGATGTATCCACAGCATAATGAAAATAAGGCAGGGACCCTACCACCTGCTGATTTTCATACTATTCCAATACATTTCATCCAAAATATTTACAAATCAAGCATTATAAAAGCATTTCAATGACTGAATCTTGAATTTGTTCATTTTGTGAATTTCTATTAAATTTTCAATAGGCTGGGGGGAAAAGTCAAATACATGCATATGCTACCAGCTCACTGGAAGATAGCTTAGGTTCATTTCTAAGTTGAGATCTTACAATGCAAGGGTAGAAAAATCTCTTTTTATGTGCAGTATCCAATGGCACAGGACTGGCTTCCTAAGGAACTTTCAGTAGATCCATTATTTGCATTACAGTTTGCATATCTCATGGTTAATTTTCAATAACAGAAAAACTTCAACCATGAGGCATAAAATGAATTTTTTAAAAAAGTGTCTTGGTTTACAGAATTTCAGTGATACAAGTAAAGCAGGCACTCAAGACTTTGGAAGGTAATTAAAGCAATAACTAGTGGAACAACAGCTTTGCAGTCATCAATAATAAATATACCATGTAAGGGCATCTGGCTGGATTTTTCCAGTATTCTACAAATGTTAAGTTAGCAACACCCTTTCTTCACTTTGTGAACAATCCAATTTACAAAACACAATGTAGAATTTTATATTTTCATGGAAAGATAAGCATTCATCTGGTAGTTTATTTCTAGGTCAATTCACTCGATTGTACAAAGAAGTCTCTTAAACCTACATGTTAACCAAAGCACAGAGATGAAAAAGAAGCTGTATCAAAATACTATAGCATGACCATGTAACAATCAGGCAAATAACATAGGTCTTATAACTTTAATGAAAATTTGCCTGTATATTACAAAATTCTAGATGCAGATAAGCAGAAAAATTTTTTAAAAAGTATTGTCAATTATTGTCCACATTACCACAAGGTTTCTGCTTTGAGAAATGTACACATCAGAAGATTGCTATTACAATGAAATATATGGGGATAGAAATGTAGGAATTGTGATTATTATTATTTTGGTAATGAGGATCAAACCCAGAGGCATTTTACGACTGAAGGATATCCCCAGCCCTTTTTTATTAAGATAGCATCTCACTAAATTGCTGAGGCTGGCCTCGAACTTTCCTACCTTAGTTTTCCAAATTGCTGGGATTACAGACAAGCATGATGGCGCCTGGCTGAAGTGTAGGAATTATTTTAATGGGTTAAAATATTTATGGATACACATACACACACACATATGTATATGTATTAATATATAAAAGACTGATAGTCTATTGGATATACATTTTGGTTAGACATTAATAATTTATTTTACTCTCTGGATTGATCTCTTGTCATTTGGGGCAAATAAGAAAAAAGTATGAAGAGCATGACAAGTTTAGGGAAAGATTCTGCATGGTAGGGCACTAGTTCCAGATAGCAGGGTAGTGGGAATCTCAAAAGTTGACCACATGTGGGTCACAAGTAAAGTGGACTCAGGGAAACCCAGTCTCTTAAGACATGGTTTTCCCAGGGAATAATACTGATTCACTGTGCATTACAAAGTGCATTCCAATTAAACAAGGGGGAGGAGCAGGGAGAGAGGATCTTTTGGCCAACATGAGGCATAAAATCTTCCACTCAGATTTTCAAGAGGTGGTTCTTCTCAGAGATACTAATAGAGAAATTATGGGAGTACGTTTGCTTTACTCAACTGCTCTGAAAGCAGCTGCCTGAAGTTAACCATATTCTCTGAACTATTAAAACATAATAATTATGAACTATTTTGGTAAGTGTCAGCATGAATGTGAGAGACAAGAAAGAAAAAGCAGAGATTATCTGAAGCATGGTTATGTGGCTATTGACAAATGAGTACGAGCAAATAACTTCCATGTTTTTCAATCACTGGTAGATTTCATCAATATGAGATAATCACTCTGGTACTATTAAATATCACATGAGTAAGGTGAATTTTAAAATAGAAATTATTATACAGCTATGCCCTGTTTGTCCTTAAAAATAACAGAATCTCAAACCTGAATAAGTTACTCCTTTAGTAAAAGCAAACTCTATCAACTATCTTTATAATGGTGAGTGCTTGACAGCTAAACTTTACAAGGGTACCAAATCTACTTTCAAATCTGTAATACAATATAGAAATCTGCTTGCAAAGTAAAATTGTTTAGCATTTCTGAATAATAATATATTTAACATATTATTGCATCTTTCCCCCCAATAGGTAAAATGTTTTATCACGTGCTTTATGCAAGCAGCCGAAGGAGAGCTAAATTAAAAATTCCTTTTAACACTGTCTGGTCATTATACACAACAGGGTTAGCAAAGCAGATACAGTAAAGATTAATGTTTTGATTACCTAATGTGTTTAATAAGATTTCTCAGGGGAGAAGTAGGTCCAAGTTTCCATTCTTTTATTCCTTCCCAGCCATCCAGCTTTTAATTATCCCTTATAGCATGCCCTATTTACTCAATAGGGACAAGCTAAATCTATCTTCGCTCAGGCCTGCCTAGCGAATTAGAACAACTTCAGAAATAAAAGCACATCTTTGGGGGAAATTTTGAAAGAGTTTACAGGCTCAAAGATTCAGCTGAGCTTGCAGCAACCTGAACAAACCTTAATTTTAGAAAACAGTATACGAATTGCAAAACTATACTTTAACAAATGTTCTCTGTGCTCCTTCAGCAGAACGAAAGGGCATGATGAGTTGATTCTTGCCCTGGTCTTCTGTATGTATCTTTTTTTTTGTGCAGCTGATTATTAATAAAGAGCTAGAAGTGAAGATGATGCATGGTGTCATACAAAGACTTTAGCCAGGGCATCAGCTCCAGCACTGGCTATATAGCATTTGGATGGATGGAAAGCTACATCATGAATGGATTCTTCAAATTTTTTCCGATGAGCTGTGAATTCTTGTATACACGTCTTACTTTCTAGATTCCATAAACGTATTGAACAGTCATGACCTATACCAAAGGAAAGGAAATTGAAAGGAAAGATTATATTAATATGAAAATGATAAGAACAAGTTAAATAATCTATATTTGATGTACTTACTGCCAGACATCAAGTATAGTCCATTAGGATCAACTGCTAAACTTGTAACAGCTTCTAGGTGGGCTACCATCGAGTGGATCAGTTTGCCTTTGGAAAAAGAAATGGTTACTCTTTATAGATAATTTTCCTCATCTTTCACATATTCTAGCTAAATGTTATACTGGTTCCTCCAATTATCCCTCTCTGGGTCCTTACTATATAAACAACTTTTCCGTCAGCTAAAACCACATGTTCCTCTACTTCTTCTAATCATTATTATGTTGAGGGGAAAAAAGCAGCTCAAATTTCAGACTATATATTTTTTCTTTTAAACCACAAAAGGGAACTCATTAATTTCTATGTGTTCATTAATTAGAACTTAGACATTATTAATCACTTATTTGCATCCCTTAGCTATAGAAAAATTATATGGGCATATGGGAACAGATAATTCAAATTCAGAGAGAAGAATGAAACTGAGACAAACCAAAAGAAAACATGGCCATAATTCTGGTGAAAACAACATACAGAAAAGAATTAAGAACAGTAAATTACTCATCACTTGCAGCTAAACCCAGTTGGTAAAAGTCACTATGTTAGCAAGGTCAACAGCACATAGGGAAATATGGCTGCTAATAAAGAGTGCTTTCCTCCAAGCACAGCTCCTCGTAAATTTCCTATACACTGGTGAAATGTAATCCAATAAAAACTGGAAAAGCCTCATGTTCCAATTCAAATTAATCAGGACCAAAATTTTATTATAACACAGAAAAGATCAGTCCATGGAAAAATAAATAAAACAAACCAAATGATTTGTAGGGTTTCCATCAGCAACACTGAATAGTGCAACCCAATAACTTAGTAACTGAATACTGAATAAGGCTGTTCAATAATTGAACAATTTTAAATACAATAATCTTTTTAATATTTATTTTTCAATTGTAGTTGGACACAATATCTTTTTTTTAAATTTATTTATTTTTATGTGGTACCAAGGATCGAACCCAGGGCCTCACACAGTCTAGACAAGTGCTCTACTGCTGAGCCACAACCCCAGCCCCAAATACAATAATCTAATGTCTCTACTTTCGACACATTTCTCCATTTCCCTCATTTATTACAACATATCATAGCAAAAGATGATTTTTACTGATATTTGAATGAACATTTTATTATATTCTTAGTGATCATTGGCTCTAGGTCGTAAATATACCATTTACTCACTGTTAAACTAACCAAAGTGATTCTAAATTGCATAATAAAGACTGACTGGTCTTAGTGCATCTGAATAGACTGAACAGAAACTGAACAAGGAGAGCATTTGTTGTAGTACCTAGTCCTTGACTATGCAGCCACCAAGAGAAGTCTCAATTAGCGTATTTTAGTAGAGATATTTTTCATGAAAATTCTTACCTGTATTGTTATCATAGAATTTGATATGCCTGTCTTCATGAGCAGTGATGCTGATTGGAAGAGTGGGATGACTGATGACTCTATTTATTTGGCAGGAAGAGTTGGCTGCTTAAAAGGAAAAAGAGCAACACGAACTAGTCAAGACCAAGAAGAACTGAATACTCACCAAAGAGGCTGAAAAAGAAAATAGTATAACCTTAGTTTGTTTTTAGTTCACTTTTCTCTATTTCCATAATTTCAATGTTAAAGAGAAAACTGATTGAGCTACACTTTAATGACATACCTAGAGGCACCTAAGAATTAGAATTTTCTTCTCCACTACCTGATATCTATGGGTGCCACCTAAGATTTAGCCTAGAATTACTGATACTTCTCATTCTACAATGTTCTGTGATACTTTTGCTACTTTAAAATAAAGTTTCATCATTACTTGCATGTAGATAATCCTTAAATTTAAATTTCATCCTTTTTATATACAAAGCTCCTTTATCAGATAGTTGTCATCTAAAGATAAACATGACAAAGAGAGCTTCTTAATCCTTAAATCTTCTCTTCTCGAGTTGTCTTTATCATTGTAAGAATGGTTATAATTTGACAATCTATGGACCACACCAGGTTTGGAATTTCGAAGTAGCACTGTAACATCCTAACAGTATTTTTTGTGTACTGTTTAAGAGTTTTCGAAGATATTTCAATTATATGCCCAATGAGACAGGCAGATCATACATTATTAGGCCCATATCAGTAAATACACCAAGAACCAAAATGAGTTGTGATTACCCTAACACCAGGTGACAAAACCAGAACCTAGTCTAATGTCTAACTCTACTCCAATCATACAAATCAGGTGACTGCCAAAACTGGTTCCTGAGCAATCCAAATTGCTCTGAAAGTCTTTTATCAGACGGGAATTAATAACTAGGAAGAACTTAAGTTTTATTAGTGTGTTTTTTAAAAAAAATCTTTATTTATTTATTTTTATGTGGTGCTGAGGCACGAACACAGTGCCTCACACATGCAAGGAAAGCGCTCTACCACTGAGCTATATTCCCTGCCCTAATTAATGGTTTTTATTAGTATTTTTTATACGGGAAAAAAGAAAAATTGACATGAAGATACCACAAAATTAAGCTATGTCATTATCATTATATCACCATCCAGGGAAAGGAAGGAGGTATCCTAATAAAAAAACATTATTGGGACAATTGGCAAAATTCCATAACTCAAATGGAACAGAATTCTGTCAACTTTAAATTTCCTAATTTGAATCACTGTAATGTACTATGTCAGAGAGTGCCCATGTTCTCAGCACCCATTCATTTTAAAAACACTGGAGAAGCTAGGGATCAAAGGAACTTAACATTATGAAGGCAACTTGTGACAAACCCAACAACGACATCATACTGAATGAAGAAAAACTAAAAGCATTTCCTCTAAAATCAGAAATAAGACAAAGCTGTCCACTCTTATCACTTCTATTCAATATAGTCCTTGAAACATTAGCCAGACATCATGCAAGAAAAGGAAATCAAAGGGATACAAATAAGGAAAAAAGAAGTCAAACTATTTGCTGATGACATGATCCTTTATTTAGAAGACCCCAAAAAACTCCACCAGAAGACTTCTAGAGCTTCTAAATGAGCTTAGCAAAATAGCAGGATACAAGATAAGCGTCTGTAAATCAACAGCTTTGCTGTATTCCAAAAGCTGTGGAAGAAATCAAGAAAAACCATCCATTCATAATAACTTTAAAAAAAAAAATACTTGGGGGCTGGGGATGTGGCTCAAGCGGTAGCACGCTCGCCTGGCATGCATGCGGCCCGGGTTCGATCCTCAGCACCACATACAAAGATGTTGTGTCCGCCGAAAACTAAAAAATAAATATTAAAAAAAAAAATTCTCTCTCATTCACTCACTCACTCACTCTCTCTCTTTAAAAAAAAAAAAAAATACTTGGGAATTAGTCTAACCAAGGAGGCAAAAGAGAACCCTGAAGAAAGAAATTGAAGAAGACCTTAGAAGATGGAAAGAATTTCTATATTTTGGGACAGGGAGAATTAATATTGTCAACATGGCCATACTACCAAAAGTAATATACAGATTCAATGCAATCTCCACTGAAACACCAATGACGTTCTTCAGAAAAATTAGAACAAACAATTCTTAAATTTATTTGGAAGAATAAGAGACCCAGAATCGCTAAAGCAATACTAAGCAAGAAAAGCGAAGCAGGAGGCATCACAATACCTGATGTGAAAATACACTAACTATAGAGCTGTTATTAACCAAAACAGCATGGTATTAGCATCAAAATAGACATGAGGGCTGGGGTTATAGCACATGTAAGGCACTGGGTTCGATCCTCAGCACCACATAAAAACAAATAAAATGAAGATATCGTGTCCATCTACAATTAAAAAAAAAGTTTATTAAAAAATAGACATGAAGACCAATGAAACAAAATAAAAGACAGAGAAAAATCCACATACCTACGGCTATCTTATATCCGACAAAGGTGCCAAAAATATATTTTATAGAAAAGGTAGCCTTTTTAACAAATGGTGGTAGGAAAACTAGATAGCTATCTGTAGAAAAATAAAACTAGACCCCCATCTCTCACCCTGCACAAAACTGAAATTGAAATGGATCAAAGACTTAGGAATAGACAAGAAAGCTTGCAACTGCTAGAAGAAAACACAGGGTTAACAATCCATAATATAGGTACTGACAATGATTTCCTTAACAACCCCCCCGCCCCCCACAAAGAACAAGAAAAAAAAAATCAATAAGCAAAATGACATCAAAGTAAAAAGCTTCTGCACAGCAAAGGAAATGATTAAGAATGAAGAGAGATGGACATGGTGGCACACCACTGTAATCTCAGTGGCTTGGGAAGCTGAGGCAAGAGGATCACCAATTCGAAGCCAGTCTCAGCAAAACCAAGGTACTAAGCAACTCAGTGAGACACTGTCTCTAAATAAAATACAAAAATAGGGCTGGAGATGTGGCTCAGGGGTCAAGTGCCCCAGTGGCCCAGTACCCCAGTCACCCCCACCAAAAAAAAAAAAAAAAAAGAGTGTGAAGAATAGAAGAATAGAAGAAAATCTTGGTCAGCTACTCCTCTGATAGGATTTTAAAATCCAGAATAGAGAAAGAACTCAAAAAACTCCCCAAATAACCCAATCAATAAATGGGCAAAAGAACTATACAAAAACTTCTCCAAAGAAACACAAATGGACAACAAATATATGAAGAAATGTTCAACTTCTCTAGCAATCAGGGATACGCAAATCAAAACTACACTAATATTTCATCTTACTCCAGTCAGAATGGAAATGATCAAGAATACAAACAATAACAAATGCTGGTGAGACTGTGGGGGAAAAAGGTACTCTCTTACATTGTTGATGGGGCTGCAGACTAGTACAACCCCTCTGGAAAGGAGTATGGAGATTCCTCAAAAATCTAGAGATGGAACCACCATATAATCCGGCTATACCACTTCTCGGTATTTTCCCAAAAGGTTTAAAATTGATATACCGTATACAGCTGCACAACTCACAATAATTAAACTATGGAATGAACACAGATAGTGGCATATATAAAAACACATACAAACGAGTTCTACTTAGCCATAAAAAAGAATAAAATTATAAATTTGCCAGTAAATGGATAGAAATGGAGAATATCATGCTAAATGAAATAAGACAAACTCAGAAACCCAAAGGTCAAATGTTTTCTCTCATATGTGGAAAGTAGAGTAAAATAAATGAAAAGGGAGGAAAGGATAGGATATCATAAAGGGAAGATCAATAATGTAGAAGGAGGAGATTGAGAGGCAGAGTGGAAGGACAGATAGGGGAAGGCAATAAAGAATGAATTCTTAAAAAATCATGTTATATGCATATATAAATATATATACAACAGGAAACTTCACCCTTTACATGTAAGAAAAAGAACCAATCAAATATAAATAATGAGCAAAGGGAAGTCTAGTAGAGGAAGGAGAATGGGGCAGGGGAAGGAAGATGGGTGAGAAAAGGGCAAGGGAAAAGGGGGGGCTCATGGACTGAAACTGAATTCCACGCATTTGAGTTTTCGGGATGAATCCACCAACTTTGTATAACTATAAATCTCTCTATAAATAATAAATATATGTATACACACATAATTACTTCAAAATAAAGAGTTAAAAATATAAATCTTAAAACAGTTACTATAAATTTATGTTTACATAATGGAAAATATAGCTAAAAACCAGTATACTCTTACTGAATTTTCATGTGGTTTCTAGAAATATAACATCTTAAAAAGTGAAGATGGATATTGTCAAATACAGTACAAAAATGTTATTTATCTACATTGAATGTAAAGAGATGCTTAGTTTTAAATTCAGACTGTGGATTTTTTTCTTCCAGAGATAATGCACCACTGAGCAATACTTTTTAATGTTTGGCAGAACAAAAACAATAACAAAAAGAAATACTTTAATTGAAATATCTCATATATTTTTAGACAGAAGGTAGAAAACAGCTTTAATTACTTTGAAAGGTAAAAAATAAATATGATGGAAATCAAATAATGGAAGCAAGCAAAATAAAGTTCTTACTTGATAATAATTTTAAGGAAGTTCCGCCATTTTAGAGTAAATCAGAGAAGCAGGCAAGATGCAAAGAACATCAGAATATTTGAAGGTTTAGCAGTCATTCTAAAAATGAATCTAAAACAATGCTCCACATATTCATATTTAGCTTGCAATTTAGAAATGATTCACTTTTTTTTTTTTAGTTGGATATGGACCTCATGCCTTTATTTTGTTTATTTTTCTGTGGTGCTAAGGATTGAAGCCAGGGCCTCACATGTGCTAGGCAAGCGTTCTGCCACTGAGCCTCAACCACAGCCCAATGATTTACCTTTTTACTGGGTTCACAAGTTACCTTTTACCTATACCACCTACCTCTGACTTTATCACAGTCTAATTACCATTGACATCAATTAGAAGAGAGGTAATTTATTGCAACAACAAATATCCTTCATTATTTTAAACTTAATATGAAATTCATTTTCACCTTGAAGCATATTTGGTTTTTACTTTTTTTTAAAAGACTGCTAAATTCCAAAGTAGAATAACATAATCAACTATAAATAACAAAGAAATAGTCCACAGTAGAAAGGAACGAAAGATTAATTTAATTTAGTGTGCTTTATACAACTCTAAAAGTACCAAAACTGGTAATTTAAGAAATGCCAGGGCATATTATAAATTTAAAAACTATCACTAATTTCAATAATATTGCTTTTGTTAAAAATGTTCTTGGCAGTCTTCTTCCAAAAATGTTTCCAGCACCAGGCAAAATGTCTTATTACTTTATGGTCATACTTCTTGGAGGGGGAAAAAAGAGATAATCTTATTCACCAGATTTTAACAACTGGTAGTAGTCATTAAACATCAACATTTGCCACTCAGAAATTTTTAAAAACTTAGCTACAGGACATTACTATCCAAAGTATATGTATGAAGACACAAATTGATGTAAATATACTTTGTAGACAACCAGAGATATGAAAAATTGTGCTCTATATGTGTAATAAAAATTGTAATACATTCCGCTGTCATATATAAATTTTTAAAAAATAGCTACAATTTCTGAAAGTAATTTTAAAAATGCTCACATCCTTCCTAATTTAATGTTGTTGTTTTTTTAAATTTTACTGTGCTTCATGTCACATATTTAAATATGACTTAAATTTACTTAAAGTCTATGGGTACAGTTGCACACTAACTATAATCTCAACAACTCAGGAGGCTACGGCAGAAAGACTCGAATTTAAGGCCAGCCTCAGCAACTTAAACAAACCCTGTCTCTAAAGAAAAAGAGGGTTGGGAATGTAGTTCAGTGGTAGAGTACTTCTAGATTAAATCCCTAGTCCCCATAATAAGCTAAAAATTAATTAATGCAAAGTCTAAAATCCGTAATTCCATAATCTAGATTTTTATTTTCTTATCTTTCTCTTTTACGTCTAAATAGCTCAAAGTTCTACTCAAGCCAACTTCTCCAAATAATTCTCATAGCCTATCAGAAAAAAAACAAAGAATAACAGATTAGGAAGTAAAAATGAAAAGGGCCAAAATGGAATGAAAGAAATTTTTGAGAGGGAGATAGAAAGACAAGTAAGTGCACATGAGCATACATGCATGCACATATACGTGTTTGGATATGCATGTGCAAGTACACACACTCATGTAATTATTTTTAAAGTTAGTTCTCAGATTAAAACAACATCATACATGTATGTTTTTTTCTTCAACTGTAACCTAAATTATGCTTGCCTGGATTATAATTAAAGATTAAATTATGCTTGCCTGGATTATAATTAAAGATAGAAGCTAGGTGTGGTGGCATATGCCTGTATCTGAGTGGCTCAGGAGGCTGAGGCAGGATGATCACAAAAGCCAACATCAGCAACAGTGAGGTGCTAAGCAATTCAGTGAGATCCTGTCTGTAAATAAAATACAAAATAAGGCTGGGCATGTGGTTCAGTAGTGCTCTACCACTGAACTACATCCCCAACCCTCTTTTTCTTTAGAGACAGGGTTTGTTTAAGTTGCTGAGGCTGGCCTTAAACTTGCCCCTGAGTTCAATCTCCAGTACCTCACAAAGATAGACAGCAGCCATTTAAAAAAGCCAAAAACCAAAAACCCAAACAAAAACAAAACAAAAAAGCCATTCTGTATTATATTCTTCATAATCTGAAAAAGCATTTATTTCCTGATCTCCTATATCCAATAAAAGTTTCATATTTGGAATTCTGATAGCCAAAGTGTGATCTACACTCTAGTTAGTAGTGAGCTGTATTAAGTTATATAATTAATATAAAGCTGATTAAAAATGAAATTATGAGTAATCCCAGCACCTCAGAAGGTTGAATCAAAAGAATCACAAGTATGAGACCAGTTTTAGTAACTTAGTGAAACTCTGTCTCAAAATAAAAAATTAAAAGGGGGCTCAGGGTGTAGCTTAGTGGTAGAACACCTCTGACTTCAAGCCCAGTACCTCCAAAAAATAAAAATAAATATAATAAAGGGTAGAATTAAAAACAGATTTTATTTTCTATTCAGAATAATGCCTTCTTCAAACAGAACTAAATATTAATTGTGTGTTATAAATCAATCTTGACTCATATGTGGGATAATTTAAATCCTGTTTCAAATAATATAGTTATAAATCTATGTAAAAGTTAACCCTTAAAAATCAATTGTAAATCATTATATTCTTTTAAGCAAAATGTGTTCTGAGCTTTAGGAAGCAGAATATTTTGTAATGACTCTGGAAGTTATAACTGATTAAGTTAAAAAACTGATCCAAATGCAAACCATTAAAAATTGGCATACATACTTGAATCTAAATTGGATTCTAAAGTAAGAATGCGTTGTTGGGTTTCCATGTTAAAGATGCTTGTATACCCTTTGCTGAATGATGCTACCATATGGCTCGGGTCACTGCTCACTAGATCCACAGAGGCAGGGATTCCCAATTCTAAAAGAGAACATATTTAGAGAATGGCATTTAAAGGGTTTATTTGACAATGAGCTCAAAATATAGAAAATGTAGCAATGTGCTCAAGTAATAGCATGATTTCCTTAAGAAGTATATAAGGTTTACCATTAAAATAAGAACTTTTTCACAGACACTCAATGAACACTATTTCTTCTGCAACTCTCTGCCTTATTGTCCTTACCTGTTTTATATATCTTCTACCTGCTATTCTGCTAGTATATTCATGGACTATAAACCTTGATTTAGAAAGCAAATGGAAAACAATTATGGACTACAAGTTTTGCTATTTCCATCTCAATCTGGTACTTAGAGTCACCCAAGGGAAATTCTTCATTTAAAAAAATCCATAATGGGCTGGAGGAGTGACTCAGCAGTAGAGTGCTTGCATAGCTCATGTGAGGCTCTGGCTTGAAACCCCAGTACCATCAAAAAAAAAAAAAAAATTCATCTCTTGTTAGAAATTTTATGTCAGTAAAATTAAGGAATTAGATAAGAAATAATTTGTTAAAATTCAAAATTCAGGCAACATATCAAAATCTAAAAATAAGTTATGATAACTCAGGAAAAAAATTTTAAATTTACTGTGTAGAATAGTTAAATCTTAGAGTATATTTTTAACATAAAAAATAATACGTATAAAATGAATAATCTGATGCTCAACATCTAATTAAAGCAAGCTAACAGTTCAAAAATAAGTGAACTTTCAAAGACATATGAATGGCCAACTAAGAAACAAAAAAGGGCTCAACATGTTACCAAAGAAATGCAACATTAAAACTAAAAAGTTAAGGGGCTGGGGTTGTGGCTCAGTGGTAGATCACTTGCCTAGTATGTGTGAGGCCCTGGATTCAATTCTCAGCACCACATATAGACAAAGGTCCATCAATAACTAATAAAAAATATATATAAAAAACTAAAGTGAAATACTACTACATATCCACCAGAATGGCTAAAATTAAATAGACTGAAAACACCTCAAAATGTTGATAAGGCTGTAGAGCAAATGAAACTCTCACACATTCCAGTCAGTGGGAAAATATTGGCAATTTCACATAAAGTTAAAAAACAAAACAAATAGGTTTGGGGTTGTGGCTCAGTGGTAGAGTGCTCACCTAGCATGCATAAAGCACTGGGTTCAATCCTCAGCACCACATAAATGTAAAATAAGATATTGTGTCCAAATATCTAAAACTAAAAAATAAATACTTAAAATAAACAAACAAAAACCCACCTATCCTAAAGCCCACCAATTTTACTTAGAGGTCTCTACCCACCTATAGTGTATGAAAATATATAATGTTCCTAGCAGCTTTGTTCATAATAGGCCCAAAATGGAGCAACCCAAGTATCAACAGATAAATGAACAGACAAAATTATGGCTTAATGAAATACTAATAACAAAGAGAAATAAACTGACACCGAATTATAGAAACATTCTAGTAAGTAAAAAGCCAGACACTAAAAGGTACATTCTATATTATTTCATTTGAAGTTTTAGAATAGACAATTGTATTCTCTTCTCTGACTAGAAGGTCACAGAGGAGCTCTAGGGAAGTGAAAAAAGTGTTCTGTTTTAATAGTGGGAAATGAAGGGTTGTATTCATTTATCAAATGAACTCAAGTGTATCTTTTAAGATCTATATTTTTCACTGTATATACACTGCATCTCAATTTTTAAAAATTTAAAATTAATGTTTTCTCTTCAAATATTATATTATGTTTTTAAGAATTACATATAGGTTGGGCATGGTGACACATGTCTGTAATCCCAGTGGCTCAGGAGGCTGGAAGCAGAAGGATCACAAGTTCAAAGCCAGCCCTGTCTCAAAATAAAATATGAAAAAGGACTGGGGATGTGGCTTGGTGGTTAAGGGCCCCTGGGTTCAATTCCTGGTACCAAAAAAAAAAAATATATAAATTGGAAATACATAAATATTCAAATGAATATTCTTCTGTTGCTTCAAACAGTCTTCATTAAACAGTAAGAGTTCTTAGAATCATTAATTTATTGGTTTATTTTCAGAATAAGATGTTTTTATAAAGGATTTAGAAAAATATTTTTTAAAATACGTACCTTGATTATCATTAAATACACTTAGTGCAGGAGCCACCTCAGTTGTATTCCACAAACGAAGAGTGCCATCTGCTGAACAGGACAACAAACGCTGATGTGCTGCACTGTATGCCAAACCCCAGACTGCATCTGTGTGGCCTAGCAGAGGACCTCTTAAAACAGAAGGATCTATATAAAATAGCAAAAATACAAATCAGAAGGAAAAGAAATCATAAAGATACTTAGCCTCCAGAAAAAGTAAGATATTTAAACAAAAGCACCTGATCACAGTATAAAATATATTCCCCAGTTTCTATTATTCTTCTCAATTACTGCAGCAATTAAAAACAGGCTTGGAAATAAGCAAATGTACAACTTAACATTTCAAAATTAAAATTTAAAAGCACATCATCTTCCTTTTAAGAAAATTAGGGACATCCTTCTCCTTTCCTTTTATCCTTCCATTTGTCTAGATTTTTTTTTTTTAATTTTGAATTTACCTTTGGAGAAAACACAACTCATACTGTCTGAGGAAGTGAACAAAGGTCTTCCCCTCTCTGAATTTCTTAAGCACTTTGGCTATACCTCTTTCTGGCCACCTATCCTATTGTACAATGACAATTGTTCGAATATTAAATTATCCATACTTGAGAGGAACCGAGACCTATAGGAATCCCCAAATCCTTAATTCACAGAGAGAGATAACTAGGATATGAATAATGTGGGATAATGGGGCAGGGGCAGGAGAATCGTCTCTTAGCATAGTCTTTTTTTTTTTTGGTCATTGATGGACCTTTATTTTATTATTTACATGTGGTGCTGACAATCGAACCCAGTGCCTCACACATGCCAGGCAAGCACTCTGCCACTGAATCACAACCCCAGCCTTAGCAGTCTTATGATAAAAGTAAAATTGGCAACTAGTTATTAATTCTGACAAAGATTCTATGAAGTGATGCTTTCAAGATGTCTCACAGAAATGAAGTCTGGAAATGCCAATGGTATTATGGGTCTTATATTCTGTCTCAGATGTACCATAAAATGTTTATTGAAGACAAACTGTGTGTCAGGCACTATGAGAAATGCTCATGCCACACAATACTACCCTGTCCTCAAAACACTCTGTTGGAGGTATAGTGCTAGTGACAGATACTAGTTACCACAGAATGTAATTGAGATGAATGACAACTAGAGTATACAGACGTCAGTCAGAGAATAGAGGGAAGCCATGCCTGGCAAGGAGGCAGCACCTATAAAATCACAGAAGGAAAAAAAAACTTGATGTGCAAGAAAATTTATGAGCAGTTCAGTATTAATGGAGTGTGGATGATGAAGCAGAAAGTGCATGAGAAGAGGGCAGCTGGTTTATGCTGGGATTTCTATGACATATTAAGAAACTTGGAAATTATCCTGATAGCCATTAGAGATTCACTGAAGAATTTCCTGGAAGCAGAAGGGGCAGGTAAGTATTAAATAAGGTAACCTTGCCTCTGGTACAGAAGACAGATTGGACAGAATTAGATAAAGCAAAGGGACTGGTTCAGTAAATTGGAAGAGTAATGATAAAGACCTAAGCTAGGGCAGTGGTACAAGGGAAGGAGTAAATTCAGAAAATATTTAGGAAGTCATATAAAAAAAACTAAGTAATTAGTAAGCTGTGGATAGTATGCCAAAGCAAGGAATCAAGGAAAACTCTCAGGTTTCTAGTTTTGATAATTCTGATAATACCACCAACTAAAAAAAGAAAGAAAGACATGCTGAGATGTACAGATGAGACAGACACTTTGAAATTTTCTACAGAGATTCTGCAGCTTAAAAAGGATTTATGAGTCAACAGCAAATAAAACCACAGAAGTAGGTTTAACTTTGTCTGGTTTCGGAATCAGGGTGATGTTGGCCTCATAGAATGAATTTGGAAGAGCACCCTCTTTTTCTATTTCCTAAAATAACTTAAAAAGTATTGGTATTAATTCTTCTTTAAAGGTTTTGTAAAACTCCGCTGTATACCCATCCGGTCCTGGGCTTTTTTTGGTTGGTAGTCTTTTGATGGCTTCTTCAATTTCATCCATTGATATTGGTCTGTTCAAATTGTGTGTATCCTCCTGACTCAGTCTGGGCAAATCATATGACTTAAGAAATTTATCGATGTCTTCACTAACTTCTATTTTATTGGAATAGACACCTCAAAAAAAGAAAACTACAGACCAATATCTCTAATGAACCTAGATGCAAAAATCCTCAATAAAATTCTGGTGAATCGAATACAAAAACACATCAAAAAAATTGTGCACAATGATCAAGTAGGATTCATCCCTGGGATGCAAGGATGGTTCAATATACGGAAATCAATAAATGTTATTCACCACATCAATAGA